TCTGTATTGTTAAAAGCGCTATATAAATAAAGGTGACTTGACTTGACATGCATCTGCCGCTTTAAATTCTTGAGCTCGTTACAGCAGGATGGATTCTGACTGGCTGTCAGTGTTTTATCGTTCATCAGCTGGAAAAAAATCGTTTTGAAAGTGATCACAACGATATCGTTCCTCTGTATCGTTATTGTTATAGTTGTGGTGTGAACTATGCTATTCTTTAATATTGAGAACGATTTTTAGAACTATATCTTTATTGTGCTTGGTGTGAACAGGCTTTACAAGATGAAGGAACTTGATGGAATGTTTGGGTTTAAATCAATATGAAGAACTTGCGGTTTCTTTTTGACAGGTAAGCTAAACTTCAAGTTAAAAGTATTTCTAATATGTTGCACCTTTTATTGACCTACTTTTACCTGTTAAGACATGCCTACACTTTTATAGACCTGTAAGAGCTGTGTTTGTGTTTCCTCCTCGGCTAGTTCTGTCCATTACCCTGGCCCCACCTCACTTCCCTGACTCAGCCTTCTTTGCCGGTTCCATCTAGTCTCCTGGCTCTGCCTCCTTTGCATGATGGATGAACTCTTCTATGAATTATCCAAAGCAGTTTACAGATGAGGAACATCAAAAGCTGAGATATGATACTCAAACCATAGCACTGAATCCAGTGTTTCTAAATCAAAGCAGACCACTCTTTACGCCTTTCTGCAGAAAATCAAAATCACAGACTTGATGGGCAAACAGAATATTTTGCCTTTGGTTGATTATCTTTGTTGATAGTTGTTGGTCTTTTGTCTTTTTTGTTAAGAAATAAAATTGTGGTGTGTGCAATTGTAAACATATCAGAGTGGTATTATAACACAAATATGTTGGCATTGATCATATGTTTTAATTAAATATTCCATAAGACAAGACACGAGCATCAGTATTAGCATCAGTTCAGGCACTAATGTTCGGTGAGTGGGTGTGCAGGCCAGTCAAGTTAATCCAACTTTGTAAACTATTTCTATTATAGACCCTGCTTTGAGCACAAGAGCACTGTCATTTTGGAGCAGAAAAGGGCACTTCTACAAACTGATGCAACAAAGTTGAAAAAAGAGAAATTGGAATGGTTCAGCATTAAAATGTATAACAGTAGTAAATAATTTCCACATCTTATATATAGTTATAGTTGGGCACCATATGCATCAGTTAAGCTGCCTGTAAAAGAAACATTCTTTAGTTCATCATGAGGCTTAATAAAATCCTTCCCTGCAGACAGACCTACAGAACCTTGGACACATATGTGGTGTGTTTGTACTGGTCCTAAGACCCGTTCTTATTAGTATGTTCTTCAATTTCCATTGAGTGCATGTGAAAAAAAAAAAAAAAAAACCTTTGCAGGAAACCTTTCCTCGCTGAAGAATTCCTGATGTTGTTGATCAGCAAACATAATTTATTGGCAAAGACCTTCAAGCTTTGATTCAGAATTTAGATATCAGGCTAAAGTTTCACATTCCTGAGTATCCTCAAAACAGCTGAACAATGTGGAGTTGCAAATTAAACCTTTGAAAGACCCCCTTACATCAACATAGAGGGTGGGCACTACATTTGGCTGTTCCAGTAAACCCTAGGATCGATTCCAACGGGTCTCTCTCCTTTTGAAATATGTTGTGCTAACAGATTCACCTTTAATTTGAAGCTCCTCTTACTCTTGTCCGCCCTATGAGATCTTTTAAATTCCTTTGTTAAATATTTGAAATCAAATTCTTGGCAGAGCTGTTAAGCATGCTAATATGACGGACATCAGCTAGGCCTTCTTGCCCTTATATCGTACTGACATCTATTTCACTTTATGGTATTAAGAGTGACAATAAGAGTAAAACGATAACGTACCACTTTAATATATAAGAAGATTCCTGTATGTTGCCTAATAATGATTCTTCTACAGTCAATATAACACTTAAAAACACAGACTGCTATTTAATGTTTTAATATTTTTTAGATTAACTCAAACAATCCCCTTCAACACCTTGCAATTTTTTAATTCATTGGCTCAATGTAATGTGCTACTTACAAAGAGAGGGTTGTACATTAAGAGAGAGAGAGATACTGCAGGATATCTTGAATTCCATTGAACACACACTCTTGTGCAAAGCTGTGCAGACAGGAAGGCAGGTTAGGTCTTTGACTCACCTACACAGCTGTGGTTGTTGCTGGCGAGCTGGTAGCCATCTTTACACTCACAGTAATAAGAGCCAGCAGTGTTCACACATCTGTGCATGCAGTAGTGTGATAGCATACACTCATTTCTATCTGCAAAGAGGTTTACACACACAGTGCTTGATTAAACTTATATAGGATGCTTAACACATTTACAGGGTGATAGAAAAAACTTTTTTCGTAGATGAAGATTATTTTCTTAATAGACCAAGTCTGATGTGGAAGGTAATGAAGACAAGTATTAACGTGTTTGAGAATGTTTTATTAAATAAAATCATTCTAGGGAGTTCAAGGAATTTAAAGGGGGGGGGGCTCAGACCGAGAACCTAATTAAGTTGACTTTCTTACCTACTCACTTACCTAATTTAAAGTCTCGGGGATGCACCGAAAAGCTGTCTAATAAACCTGACATTGCTTTTGTAAGTTTCTTTGGATAAAAGTGTCTGCTAAATCCATAAATGTAAATGAAAATGTCTGTTCTGAATGCAGTGAGTGCTTCGTCATTTGCTAGACAAGCCTGGCAGAAATGCTGAGAACTATTGTTACCCAACACTAATTACGGGTAAGAACAATTTCCAGTAAATGTGTCTATTATTTAAGAAAAAAAATCATTTCATTTCAGTGCATCACTGAGATTATTGTGAATTAAAGCCAATTATCATTATTAGCATATTATTTACATGAAATATAAGAGTAATATTGTTTTACAGAAGTATTTATATTTGATGCTAAAGACATAATAGACACTAGAAAAGGTCACTGAAAGTGCCCCCCTCCCAACTAGAGTTCTGTCAGGACCACTATCGTCAAAGATGATTGACAATTAGCATACAGTTTGGATTGGCAGTATGGTTCTGTTCAGGGCAAGAACTCCCTGCGCCTCCATGCAGCCTAGCATATGAAGTATTCTAATTTGTTGAGATAGTGAATTGGTGGGTTTTTGTTAAATGTGAGCCAAAATCATCACAATTAAAAGAACCAAAGACTTAATCTACTTCAGTCTGTGTGCATTGAATTTATTTAATACACGAGAACTTTTCCACGACATTCTAATTTATTGCGATTCACCTGTATATGAATGCTTAGATAGGTGTCGTATTCCCATAGGTAGATGGGGATCAGCTGAAAGTCAGCTGATGCGAGCTTGACTAACGTGACCTGCCAGAACTAACGATACGCTTGATTTCCCCCTAGACCAGTTCAACTAGCAAAAACCTATTGACCCTCCAGCTTAACCAGCAACCACATTGACCAGAAAGACCACACTGGCTGACAAGTTTATACGTTTTGTTTTCTAGAACAGCCCAAAACAGTACTAACCAGCACTTACCAGCATGATTATATATACTTATTATAGGATAATATTTATTGTATATATTGCTGAGTTATATCAGTAGGCTGCTTTGATGACTAGATTGCAGTGTGAACTCACCCACACATTGTTCTCCATGTTTCTGGTATCCAGGATGACACTGACAGGTGTAGGAGCCTCTGGTGTTATAGCAGATCTGGTCTGCATTGCAGGTGTGTAGGCCTTGAGAGCATTCATCTACATCTGCCCAAACACACACAATCACACAGGCTGATCAGTGCACTCCATGATTAAAGCAAGCTTTATAACATGAAATAGTATTTTATTAAAGCCATAAATTCAAATGCAGTTAATGGGAGTGGGTCATTGACAAGTATCATGAAATTAATTAACTTGAAAAGCGGAACATTCAATTGGTAATCACTCCACATAGAACCCAAAGCCCAAAGTGTAGCTACAGACTACTGGATTCAACTAGATTTACTGGATGGAAAGTGCTTTTCAGGTTTCTTGTCACTGCATGATGAATCAATGATTGCATCATTGGTTCAAATCCCAACATGGCTTTGGCCCTTTCTCGGCTCTCTTCCATATGCTCCAGCACTCACGCTTGGGATCCAGAAGCCTGCTCCAAGGATTATTCTGCCCTGAGTGACAGCTCGATGTTTATGTTATCCAGCTCTGAGGAAGTGGATATCGTCTCCATTAAGGCAGGAGATATGGAGGACTCACCACCCATATCCCTGCTTATAAGGAGCTGTTGGAGGTTGTGACCCGTGCCATGACTAAGCTTAACATCAAAAGACCGGCAGAGAAGCAGGAAGTGTGCCACAAAAGAAAGTTATGACTGGCGTCAGGCCACCGACTTGTCTCTCTGGCCCACCAAGGAGACATCCTGAGTCATCGGCTGCTCCATGTCAGTACTGGTGGCCATGGAGAGACACCTTTGGCTCCTGCCAGAAGGCAGCCCCAGCCATCTACATCCAGCTCCTCATACAGGCAGCAACACTTTCCTTCAGGGCATCAAGCTCAGCTCCCAAGATACACCAGAGGTCAGCCTCGAAAGGATTATTCCCCTAGAAGACTTTTGTGGCAGCCTGGAAACTTCTGCCAAATGTGTCTCAGTGGGCCCTGCATACAATAGAAAAGGGAATACAGAATCCAGTTTGATTCTAGACCATCAAAATTTGATGGCATGTTGTCAATGGTGGCCCCCAAGCAGGCTCGGGTAATGGAACAGGAAGTTCCATCCCTTTTGGCAAAGGAGGCCATAGAACATGTTCCTTCTTCTGGTTTCTACAGTTGGTACTTCATTATTTCAAAGAAGGATGGGGGTGTTGCATCCCATGATAGATCTACGTTGGTTAAACCATACTCTGAGAAGATACAGGTTCAAAAGGCTGACCGTCCCTTTCATCGTGAACCAAATCAGATCCAAGGACTGGTTTGTCACGTTTATTCTAAAGGACACATACTTCCACAGATCTATCCTTCCTCAACACAGGAAATTCCTGAGGTTTGCTTTCTGGGGCGAAGCATACCAATAGCACTACCCCCTCGCACCTTCATGAAGTACATGGATGCAGCACTGGCTCCTTTGAGACTCCAGGCCATCCATGTACTCAATTTTATCGATGACTGGCTGATTTCAGCAGTGGGTCTCATGGCAGCTGCATCCAAGTGAACCCTTTTGGCCTGCAGCACATGAGTTACAGTGGTGGCTCAGAACTAAACCCATTCCACATGATAAATGTGATGCACAGATGCCTTCATTCCTTGGTGATGCGGAAGAAACCTTAGTCTCTGTCCCAGGGACCTGTGCTGGGGGCATCGTGTCATTGCAAGATGCTAATGACAGATACTTCCCTCATGGGCTGGGGAGCGGTCCTGGAGGGCTACTCAACTCAAGGTCTGTGGAGACAGCATCATCTCTCTTGGCACATTAATGATGATAGCTGTATTTCTAGCTCAAACATTATTCCTCCTAAACCTTAGAGGCAACCACATCCTTGTCTGTACGATCAACATAAATCATTGGGGGTCTGTGGTTGTACCATCGATGCAGACAGGTGCACCAGGTCCTTCTATGGTCACAGGGCAAACTGTTTTCTCACAGAGCAGTTCACATTCCACATACCTCAATGTGGGAGCAGACAGCCTGTTGAGGCAGGGGCTGAGGAAACTCCATTCCAAGATGGTGGAATTAATTAGGAGTAAGTTCAGCCAGGTGGAAGTAGATCTGTTCGCATCACTGTGGGTCTGACCCCTAACGGGGATCAGCTCCTGAACCATCTTAAACGCTAGAGCTCCTGCCATGAGGGAATCATACTCCTTCCAAGTGGAGGGTTTTCACCTCATGGTGCAGGGAATTGGACCCAGTTAACTGCCTAGTGGCTTCAGTGCAAGTGTTCCTCCAGAATTGTTTCTCTGTGGGTCTATCCCAGGGGTGCCCAAACTCGATCCTGGAGGGCCGGTGTCCTGCAGAGTTTAGCTCCAGCTTGCCTCAACACACCTGCCTGGAAGTTTCTAGTATGCCTAGTAAGACCTTGATTAGCTGCTTCAGGTGTGTTTGATTAGGGTTGGAGCTAAACTCTGCAGGACACCGGCCCTCCAGGACCACGTTTGGGCACCCCTGGTCTATCCCCTTCCATTCTTAAGGTCTCATAGCTGCCTTCCAAGCCCTGTTACACGATGGGTCTTTGGGAACCACAATTTGATAACTCAGTTCCTTTGTGGCACTCGTAGAATGAAGCCTAACACTTTTTCGTAGATGAAGATTATTTTATATTATTTTATGAAGATTTATTATTTTCTCAGGATCTGGCTATGGGGATCTGGATCTGGTCCTACACTGTGGACCAGGCTACGTGCCTAAGGTACCATTGAATACCGCACCGTCTACGATTCTGCAGGCCACTGTCCTTTAGCTCCAATCCTAATGAAACACACCTGAACAAGCTCATCAATGTCTTCAGGATTACTAAGGCTACAGGCAGGTGAGATTTTTTCAGGGTTGGAGCTAAACTCTGCAGGACAGCGGCTATTTAGAACCAAACTTGCCTACCCCTGCTCTATGGGGAATGACTCAGGTTATTAATTAAACCATGGTTTCCCCAGAGGAACCTGTTTTGTACCAAGTGTCCTTTGTAGCTTCCACGTCATTCTCGTACTATTTGTGTGCTTATGTGTTTGTTCATAACTTACTACTGACATAACAATAAACTGAACTTAATTTACATTATTTGACAGATTTAAATCAATTTTGTGAGAAATGCAAAACAACTTTTAAAACAAAACAAAACAATTTCATATTTATGTTTGTTTTTCAATGGAATAACAGTCCCTTTACATAGTTGGCATAGTAATAGCAGCAGACATGTGTGCATATAGACCCCAAGTATAGACCTCTGACTAAAGTCGCATTTTTCATTTTAATATTATTTTCATGGCATCCCTTGTCACAGCCATCACAGTTAATGCACACAAATTTAGCGCTCTTTGTAGGAGAATCCACGGCTCCCTGACCTGCCTTCATTTGTGACAGCCGGTTAACAATTGTGTCTGTCTTATATGTCAGCAACATTTGTCACTGCTGTGAAATAAAACCCTATTAAAACATCTGAATACAACCAGCCTAACTAGCAATAGCTTAACAGCGAGCAAGCTGGTCTGGTGTTAGCATAAAATAGTTGTGCAAGGTCGAAAATGTATATATTCACAATTACACATTTAATACATTAAACATCTTATAACATTATTTATGCAATTGAAACTGAAGAATAAAAACATTCATGCCACCTCTGAGCTGCATTAAACAGTCTGTGTAAATGCATCAACAATAAATTCCACCTAAGATAAAGCTTCTCTGCCACATCTGAGTGTAAAGATTTTCTTGATAATTATTTAATTTGATAGATAACAGTCCTATAGTGTCTTGTTATTCTAATTATGCCCTTGTAAAGGTAAAAAAAATGCTCCTGGAAATTAATTTGTATTTGTAATTAATTTGTTGTTGCCTGTTCTTGTGATAGGCTATATGTAGAAATAATGAATGCTAAAAAGCGTGTTCTCTGTGAACTGGTAATTTTATGTTGAGTATTAAACATCTGCATTAGTATACGGGTATTGAATGAATGAATAAATAATGATTATCTACAGTATTGTTACGGAAATACCTGACTCAGAGACAGGATTAGCGGACAATACACACAGGGATTTTATTAACTGAAAAAATAGGTGAGTAGCAATGGATAAGTATTAATGGAGCAATGCAATACTGGAGAATGAAGTGGTTTACTGGAGAATGAAGAGGTCTTTGCAGATGGAGGGGGGGATTGTGGATTCGCTGGAGTGCACACACTTCTCTGGGATGAAGACTTGGATGAAGACACGCGATGGAGAACATTGGAGACAGGGGGAAATGCTGGAAGTAATCGCATGAGAGAATCACAGGAGGTAAGTATGCAGGTAAGTGGTCCATACATCAACTAGTAGACCAGACAATGAGCTTGGGAGAAGTGTGTGCTTTTATACAGGAGCTGATGAGGGTGTTGACAAGGTGCAGGTGATCAGTATTCATGGGACTGTGAACTGATTGAGGGAGTGACGGTGGAAACCTGGTGACATCGTGACAGTACACCCTCCATGGCCCGTTCCTGAGGGCCGAGGACCCTGACGGTCAGAGTGGGGCGCATGGAAGTAGTGAGGAGATCAGGATCAAGGATATGATCTCTGGGGACCCAGGATCTTTCTTCAGGACCATATCCTTCCCAGTCTACTAGATATTCCAAGAGGCCACCACAGCGTCGGGAGTCCAAGATTTCCTTGACTGCTTAGGTGATACCATCCTTCACTTTCATCAGAAGAAGGGCTCATAAGCGGGACAAGGCTCTGTGGAAGGATTAGAAACAGGATTATGGTATGGCTTGAGTAATGATACAGAAGGATGAGTGAATTCTGAAATGTGTAAGGAGTTGGAGCAGGTAAATGACAGTGGGTTAATCTGACAGATGATCTTGAAGGGGCCAATGTATCTGGGGCTCAGAATCAGAAGCAATCTTGTAGCAGTGAGAGGGTTCCATTGGCCCCTGGTCAGTGCCCAAATATGTATGTGCTGAACGGATCAGAGGAGCACGTTGAGAGCGTTGAACATAGGTATGACCAGGACGACACCCGGGCAGAGCTGGATTGGAGAAAACTCTCAGGAGACCATTGAATGGGACTTGGGACTTACTATGAGCTTGGAGGGAAGGATTGGCTCAGGAGCTTCAGGAGAATCGTCAAGGGGGGCATCTTTCTTAACATTCTTAGAACCAGGTCTGTAGGGCATCTTAAAGTCAAATCTGGTAAAGAAGAGTGCCCAGTGGGCTTGTCGAGGGTAAAGTCTCTTGGCTTCTCTGAGGTATTCCAGATTCTTATGATTGGTACGTACCATGAAGGGATGTCTGGAACCTTCCAACCAATGCCTCCATTCCTCCAGGGCGAGTTTGATAGCCAGCAGCTCTATATTCCTGATATCATTATTTCCTTTCCGCCAGGGTGAATTTTCCGGAGAAGAAGGTGCGTTTCACAGGTCGCTGGAGAATTCATGGAAGGAGAGAGAAACATTCAGGGTAACAGCCTTCGCCCCACTTTAGGACTTCTCCTGTTTTCCAGAATAGCACTGGGTTGTCTTTAATTAACCATGAATGCCCTGGGATGATGCCAGCGGTGGATTGCTCCAGAACCAGGAAATCCAGGGATCCTTGATGGAGTTGGCCAAGCCGGAGCTGGATGGGTCCCACACGGAAACGACAGAAGCTGAGCAGTCTTCCCGTTACTGACTGGACTTGTTATTTGACTTCGATTGGTCTTCTTTTGAGCTGTAGTTGATGGCAGAGCTCCCCCGAGATAAAGTTGACAGCTGACCCAGAGTCGAGTAGGGTGAGTACTGAAACAGATATCACGAGCAGTAAGGGGGACTTCAGTGGTGAATGGAGATGCATGAGAATTAGGAGTATGAATGAAACTCACCACAGGCCGAGGAGAACGGACAGGGCATACAGAGATGATATGCCATCATACTCCGCAGTACAAGCAAAGACCCTGGACCAGCGGTCGTTGCCACTCAACGGGATAAACAAGCATTGTCCACAACCATGGGCTCCGTACCTGGTTCTGGAGAGCTGGCATACTTTGGCTGTTCATGGTAGGAGGAGGACTGTTGGCCCTGTTGGTCTTCCATACAGGTCTGCATACGATGAGAAACACAGATGGAGAGTTGAAGGAAGCATTTGAGACTGATGGAATCATTGTAGGCAGCGAGATGCAGCCGCAACTTGGGTTCCAATGCCTGTCGGTAGGTGGTGAGGAGCGAGCTCTCATTCCACCTACTAGCGGCTGCCAGAGTGCAAAAACTAAGATTATAATCTGTTACTGACATCTTTCCTTGTTTTAAGTGATACGATTGCTCACCCACAGATGATTCACTAAGCGATCTTCCAAACACTTCTCGGAAATGAGCTACGAAGCTGCTGAATGACTGGGTGACTGGGCCATCCTGGTTACAAATGGTTTCCGCGCACTGGAGCACTTGCCCCGATAACGGAGAGATGACAAAGGAGATCTTGGATTTCTCAGTGGGAAATTGGTGCAGCTGCATCTCGAGGGCCAGTGAGCATTGTAGAAAAAATCCATTGCAGCCCTCCTCCGAGCCAGAGTAAGGCACCAGGTTGGCCATAGGACTGACCACACAAACAGGTGCTGAAGGAGTGACTGGTGTGGTGATCAATGTTGTTGTGGATGCTAAGGCCCGTCGCAGCGAATCCACAATCTCCTGAAACGGGTCCATGGAACTCATGCTGCGGTATTTATTCTGGTCTTCTGTTATGGAAATACCAGACTCAGAGACAGGATTAGCGGGCTATACACACAGTGATTTTATTAACACAGAAAGTGGGTGAGTAGCAATGGGTAAGTAGTAATGGACCAATGCAATACTGGAGAATGAAGAGGTTTACTGTCTTTGCATGTGGATTCGCTGGAGTGCACACGATTCTCAGTGATGAAGACTTGGACGAGTAGACACACAATAGAGGACGTTGGAGACACAGGGGGAATGCTGGAGGTAATCGCAGGAGATAATCACAGGTGGTAAGTAGGCAGGTAAGTGGTCCGTATACCAATGAGTAGACCAGACAATGAGCTGGGGAGAAGTGTGTGCTTTTATACAGGAGCTGATGAGGGTGCTGACAAGGTGGAGGTGTAGGTGATCAGTATTCAGGGGACTGTGAACGGAGTGAGGGAGTGACGGTGGAGTCTGGTGACACCATGTCAAGTATGTAACTAATTTTTATAAAAAAGAGGGGTGTCCTTTTTTCAGTTGAGTACATGCCACCCAAAATGTCAGTGCAGGGCCCCGAAAATCAGTTTGCATATATAAAAAAAAAACTCTGTCTAAAAATCTGCCTTTACTGAAATTATAATATTATGTTATGGCTTTTTATCCATTTTTAATGCTGGGAAAATAACATTTTCTGAAATGTATGTTTCTTGTTTACTGACTCAAAATAACTTTTTAGTTTAGAAACTTTTCAAACAAAATCCGAAAATGTAGCACTAACTGCACTGTTTGCTGAAAATCAATGATTGGAAAAGAAAAGAGTTCTCTTACCCAGCCCATAAATGAGACTAATGCTACCACAAATACTGTTGTTGTGTTAAGAACAATGGCTTACCTTGGCAGTAGTTTTGCTCATCCAGTGTAAAGCCCAGCAAGCACTGTGTGGCTCCAGCTGCTACACCTCTATGGTTTGACTGGGTGCGAGTTTGAGGGGTCTGTGGGTTAGTGGGGTTCAGCGGGTTAAGGGGGGTTTGGGGAATAGGGTCTGTGCGCTGGGATGATTCATCTCCATTAGTGACAAAAATCTGGGCATTCTGAGGGAGGCAGAGGTAGCCGCCATAGTGGTTTATGCACTTCATGCCTCCTTTGCAGGCATCAGAGACAATGGCACACTCATCAATATCTGTTCATGAACATGGAGAGAAAACTAGCATTAGGATTTAGAATCACTTTCTCAGATACATGAAAATAGGCAAAAGGACAACTGTTGGCCATAAAAGGCCAGAGAGAGAATACTATATCAACAATATTATTTTATTACCTTTGCATACCTCTTTAATGGGATCATATTCATAGCCTTCTGTGCACTGCTGTGAGGAAAACAAAAAAAATCACTGTATAAGAACGTTTTATGTGTCAATTTAAAATATATATAAGCAGCAACAACAAAACTATATACTCAATAATATGTATTATTTATAGTTTTATGTAAATACACTTGCCATGTATGATACAGACTCTTCTGCCTCTTGAGAAACAGCACTGGCAGCAACTGTCATTACCAGGTAGATTTCCAACATCATGATGGATCTACATGGGTTAACAAATCAAAACAACAACATAACACCTAGTGACATCACTGCTGAACATGTGAGACATGTGAGATCACATCTGCTTTCATTGGCTCAACTCCAGTCAGAGCTCATGCAGTTCACATACCTCTCTAGAAATGTCTTTTAAAGTGCTACTGAAAATTTAACTATTTAAAATGCAATTACAAGCAGCCATCAAACACTTAGAACAATGCGTTTAGTTCAAACCAGCAGCCTAAAGTTACATACTTTACGTTAATACACAGTAACACGAGCACTGAAATACAACGTGTGATCTGTTATTGCACAGGGTCTGTTTCATGATTTCATGGTTTAACACTCACTTCTATTAAATGATGTTCAAAATCAAAATGTTTGTGCAAAATAAAATGAACAAACAAAATTTTATCACAGCTCATAACATACTTAATATTCATGTACTGTAGAGTATGATATACTAGACAACATACTATAAAACTCCTCTCACCTGCTGTAAGAAGCGTCAGAGGAGTTTGGAGCTCAGTCCTGTGGATGATGAGGGTTTGATGTCTGTATCGGAATGTCAGTGATGTTTGAGGAACACTTCATGACGCCATCATCGCTGCAGGAATGTGGGAGAGGTGAACAGGTTGTTTCCCGCTGCAGGAGTTTGATGTGTTTGTTTTGTGGGCTCGGGGAAGGGCAGGATGTGGCTCCGCCCACAGGCTCTTTAATAAACTCACTGATGCCAGGCATTGTGCTTATATTATAATAAGCCAGGTTGTAATGTCAATGTCATATTGTCCATATTGTTTTACAGTTTTAATGCATTAGTCGTAAATGTCCTCTATCTGAGCTGTATACTTCTGGAACACTCCCTTTATAGCATTTCCTCAGTTTCTGTATTCAAATCCCAACTACAAACTCAAAGCCTTTTTTTTTCTTCCTCTTAAAGGATTTTGTTATGTCTTCATTTTATTGTAAAGTGAGCTGTGGGAAAGGTGCTTTATATCCCTGAGACTGTTTCTGACAGTTTGTGCAGAAATTCTTTGGTTATGCAAACCGATTGTTGCAGCAGCTGTCCGGGTGGCTGGTCTCAGACGATCTTGGAGGTGAAGATGCTGGATGTGGAGGTCCTGGGCTGGTGTGGTTACACGTGGTCTGCGGTTGTGAGGCCGGTTGGATGTACTGCCAAATTCTCTGAAACGCCTTTGGAGACGGCTTATGGTAGAGAAATGAACATTCAATTTACGGGCAACAGCTCTGGTGGACATTCCTGCAGTCAGTATGCCAATTGCACGCTCCCTCAAAACTTGTGACATCTGTGGCATTGTGCTGTGTGATAAAACTGCACATTTTAGAGTTGCCTTTTATTGTGGCCAGCCTAAGGCGCACCTGTGCAATAATCATGCTGTCTAATCAGCGTCTTGATATGCCACACCTGTGAGGTGGATGGATTGTCTTGGCAAAGGAGAAGTGCTCACTAACACAGATTTAGACAGATTTGTGAACAATATTTGAGAGAAATAGGCCTTTTGTGTACATAGAAAAAGTCTTAGATCTTTGAGTTCAGCTCAAGAAAAATGGGGGCAAAAACAAAAGTGTTGCGTTTATAATTTTGTTCAGTGTAAATATTACTATATTATTATTATTATTGGACAAAGTGATCGAATGTAAACAAGTAAATGTCCACAGTGAAGAACTGATTGATTTTCCTCACTTTGCATTGGATTTGATATAAAAATAAAAATAAACATAAAAAAAAAACTGCAATTAGGGTTTTGTGATGCATGTGCAACTTGATGCATGAGCAATCTTTCTTGATGTAATCAGTTTATTAACAGTCTCATCTATATGTTTTCTTATTACATTCAAAAACCCTTATAATATAAAACCCCTTTACTTTTTTTGTAAATTTAATTTTGTTTGTAGTTTAATGTATTTATCATACATGTGCAATATTAGAAATAATGATTCAGGCACTAAATATGGAGTTTAAGTCCAAAAAGAACCAGTCAAAACACATAAGAACAACCCAAAAAAACAGGCAACCAAATCCAAAATGTAATCAAATAAAAACAAGAACTGCAGATTAGATCCATAATCAAACATACAATGCCAGGAAACGAAGGAAACGCAGCTCAGCTAATGAGAATGTGCAGTGAGTGAATGAACGGTCCGGTCATTTGGACATACAAACAGGAAATGAAGCATAGGTGATGGAAATGAGGGCGTGAGAACCAGTCAGTGTGATCAGCTCATACGGAAGGCTCACAGGTCTCAATGAGTCCAAACAAACACATACTGTTTTCTACTGACTCCTGACACCCGGAAACAATTCACAACATTCTCCTCTCTACTCTCTCTCCCCTCCACCATATCACACTTCCTCTTTGACTGTTGATGACTTTGCCAGCTATATAATTATTAAGATGGCATCCATCAGCAACCAGTTCTCTACAACCAACCTTCACCCACACATTTCCACTCTTCTTTCTCCAAAGTTTTCTGTGCCAGCCGTCCTATTTCCGATCCCCTCCCACCTACTACCTCACCCACACTGCTACCCACTCTTGACTCACCTTATCAGCACATCTTTCGCTACTGGCAAGTTTCCCACTGCATTTAAGCCGGCTCGGGTAACCACTTCTCAGGCTACGTCCACATTAATCCGGATACATTTTTCTATACACATCTTTTTCTTTATGTTTTAGTCTTTCGTCTACACCGAGTCCAGCGAAAACAGAGCTTTTTGAACACACTCTCACAAGTGGATAAATTATAAAATGCAGCTTCACGTTGTAGTGTGAACTACTGGAGGTTTTCAAAAATGATGATGCATGTTATGTCATGATTTCAAGTTTATTTGTATAGCGCTTTTCATGATACAAATCGTTGTAAAGCAACTTTACAGAAAATTAAGTTTCTACAATATATTTAGTAGTAGCTTATCAGTGATGACTGTCAGTTAATGTACATATGGCCAGGGTTTAAATTGGGCCGGGGCCGTCAGGGGCTGAGCCCCGGCACATAGACTCCAGGGCTCGACATTAACGCCAGACAAATAACATGATTGAAAACATCGGTAACCAAAAATAACTATGTAAACACCAAAACGCAAGTATTATTGTGATTTTATTACATTTAGAGTAAGTGGCGAATAGTGGATATAGCTACTGTATATAATGCATCTATTGACAGTATGAGGCTCACACAGCCTCTCCAAGAGAAATCAAAATGCGCAACACTAAGAAACTCAGCATCCTGAAGTAAAAATTCAAAATGGAAAGTTTTTATATTTAAAATAGTTAGTTAGGCAACATCACACAACATTTTCACCATTACGACTGTCTAATAGTTCTATAAACAGTTCAATAAGAAAATACAATAATATTAGGCCTCTTACATTATAGGCGGAACACAGCGCACCTCACAGCAACCAGCCGATTAATTGCTGATTGATTTCGTGTTTTGAACGAATCGGTTGAATCAAAGTTTAATTTGCCCATGCATAAACATCTGATGAAATTGCCTTTTGAACGAATCGTTTGAATGAACGACTCAATGACTCACTCATTAAATGCTCACTACTGGCACCTACTGGCGTTTTAATTTCGTTGAAAAGTATCATTTCCACCATCATTTCTTGTTTGTATATTCAAATATATTTAAAATAATCTCAAAATATTATTTAATGCAGTTGTATTTTTCAGTGTAAATGATTTAATTTGATAACGTATAGATAATCACATTATTATAATTGAATTTGTAGATCAAATGTAAGAATCTGAAATGAAAGTATTAATGAGGTTTCGAGGGAAAATATAAAAAACACGCAGATTTATATGTCACAGCTGATAGAAAACTGATGAGAATATTGCTTCAGAATAAATCATATTCAAAAAACAAAACACACACACACACACACACACAGACATATATATATATATATATATGTCTGCATATGCCGCGAACATTCACGATCAGTAAACAGCCAAATCAAATGCAAATTAAACAGTTTAACTTACATAATATCAGGACTCATTCGCACAATGAACTTCAGTCTATCGACTCCTGTTTATAACGACAAGTCCTCAATACCCCTCTTACTAACGCAATAAGATGCCCGTAGTTACTAACCTTGTAGAACAACAAATGTAATAATTGTACAGTGCTTTTCAGTAGGCATATATAGCGTATCAACAACATTTATGGTATAGATCCGATTTCTTTTTCCACCATCCCTCCACCGTCCTCCAAGGCATGCGATACGACGGCAGGTGTCCATTGCACGTTACCTTGCTGTGAATAGACGTTGGCTCCTTGTTTCAGTGCGGTAAGTGGTTTCGCAGCTCTGTCATAACGGGGATGATTGAGCGAAGCCGTCTGCTCATGAGAAGCTGAGCTGGTGATTTAAAACCATCGACGGGTGCATTTCTGTGCTCCAAGATACTCAGGTACGGATCCTTTCCTTCTTTGCGTGCTTTTGTCAATATCTGCTTTGCCGTTTGCACCGTTTTCTCCACAAGTCCATTACTCTGGGCATAGTATGGGCTTGTTGTTGTGTGCACAAAGTCCCACTGTTTCGCAAAAACATGGATCTCCTGTGAACTGTATTGCGGACCGTTATCAGACACAACTTTTTCTGGCACTCCGTGGCGCGCAAACATTGCTTTGAGCTTTCAGATTACAGCAGGAAGTCGAATGTAGTTTTTTCTACCTCGAAGAAACGGCTGTAATAGTCAACAGCAATGATGTAATTTTCGCCCTGCCATGCAAAGAAGTCAGTAGCGACCGCTTGCCATGGGCACTTTGGAATTGGGCGCAATCATCAGTTCTCGCTGGTTGGAGTTACGGTGCGCAAGACAAATGGAGCAGTTTTGTACAATTTCCTCTATTTGCTTGCTCATGCCCGGCCAGAATATGACATCCCT